ATGAATGAAAAATTAAATAGCAATTCTAGACAATTAAGAAATAAATAAAAGAGAATATTAATGCTATAAAAATAAATAAAATAAAGAAAGAAAAAAAAATTAATACTAATAAATAAGACAAAACTGAACAAATCCTCAGCGAAAGTAACTATACAAAAACTGACACAAAAAGAACGAAGGCTAACTTAAGTGAAACCAACTAACATACTAATAGACAGAGCAATAAAACTGAAAACGACAAAAGTGACAAAATGACTACAGGAGTCTTTAACTACATATAACGTGACAAAAAGCTAGAACCTAGAAACAAGTATTAATATGTACACAAATAGATAACACAGCAACACGTTTTACAGACTAATAAACTAAAGAAATCAAAGACACAACAACAAGTTTTACAAACTTCAAAGACAACCAATTACAGACAACTAAGCAAATAAAACAAAGATGCTGTCAAAAGTAGTTTTTTTTTTTTTTTTTTTTTTTTTTTTTTTTTTTTATTTTTTTTTTTTTTTTTTTTTTTTTTTTTTTTTTTGAAACGTTCTAAACCAAAAAAAAAAGAATAAAATAAATTACAGACTAATAGTAAATGACTAGTAATAACTAGTAAAGCAATGCAACAAAATGTAAAAATTTTTCTTTTTTTTTTTGAAAACAAAATAAGACAAAACAAAACCTAACAAACTAATGAAGGAAAACTAAACTAACAACTGAGAGAATGAAAACTAATAACTTGACCAAGAAACACAAACAAGAAAACGTGACAAACAAAAAGACAAATAAATAAAGATTAAATACTTACCTCTTTGGCTAATTATCTACTGAACAATCTTGTTGACGCACCTCCCCGGCAGCGGCGCCCAAATTTGATTACGCCCAAACGTGTACAAAACAAGCGGTCAATTGTAGCACAATTAGGACGGTCGATCCCACGAGGAAGTAACAAATTAAACAAGAAACGATTAGCAAATAAAAAGCGTTAGGAGATAAGTAATAAAGTAAAAATAAAAGAGAATGAAAATTTTGTTGAGAAGTTTAAGAGTAAGAAAAATGTATGAGAAAATTATATAATTAAAATCGGTAAGCAGATTATTTTCAGCTCTTCATGTCTTGAATTTGGGATCACTGGTGCTTGGTTGGACAGCATCACCAGTGATATAGTCGTCGCGGCTTTGTCCACTAATGAACATCATTATGGTCTGGGACCATTGAAGATAGTTGTGGCCATTAAGTTTGTGACTGATGATGGGAGCAAGGTTGTTGTCGATTGTGGTCTGAGGGTTGATAGGGACATTAGGGGAAGCTGATGACGAAGAGTCTCTGGAGGTTTGTTCAGATTCGGCCATGGTGAGGATAGGCTAGAGGTGACGGCTAGGAAATTAGGGTTAGAGAGCCTAGAGCTCTGATACCATGAAGCTTTGAATAATTGGAATTTTCTTATTAAAGAAATGAATGAAAAATTATAATACTTTTCATTGGTCTGGAATAGTAAAAAGCTGCACTTATATACAAGAGTGTGGCCTGATCTACAGCCTTATTATCAGGGAAAATAAAGGCTAATTTCTAGTCTAACGTAATCAGGAAATATCATGATATATTTCCTGATTTCCTAAATCAACTAAATAAGAAATGATGACAGCTAGAGGCCTCTACAGCCTGTCAAATCTACAGCCTGTTACAGTTGTGAATGGGCTGAATAATCTGGATTTTTAACACTCCCCCTCAAACTGGGTAGTAGATGTTAATCATACCCAGTTTGATATTCAAATCCTCAAAGCTTGATCTTGGAAGGGCTTTAGTTAGAATGTCGGCTGTCTGGCATTGTGTAGGCGTGTATTGTAGTAAAATTTCTCCATCTTCTATCTTCTCTTTGATGAAATGGCGATCAATTTCCACATGCTTGGTCCTGTCATGAAGGACTGGGTTCTTGGCAATGCGTATTGTAGCTTGATTGTCACAGAACATTTGTAACGGTTCTTCATATTGGATTCTGAGTTCCTTTAAGAGCCTCTTGAGCCACATTCCTTCGCAAATTCCATGTGCCATAGCTCTGAATTCAGCTTCTGCACTGCTTCTTGAAACCACTGTTTGTTTCTTACTTCTCCAAGTGACCAGATTTCCCCACACTCACTGAAAAACCAATGTCAGGTCTAGTGTGTGAGAGGTAGATGAGCTTCCCTACGAGTCTCTGATATCTTCCCTTGTCAACAGGTACATCATTCTCCTCAAGTCCTATCTTAGTGTTCGGATCCATAGGCGTATCTGCAGGCTTACATCCGAGCATTCCGGTTTCTTTTAGGAGATCTAGGACATATTTCCGCTGAGAGACAGATATTCCTTCTTTTGTTCGAGCCACTTCCATTCCTAGGAAGTATTTGAGAGTTCATAGGTCTTTGATCTCAAACTCCTTTGCAAGGACGTTCTTCAGTCTTTTTCATTTCTTCTAAGAAATCCCCTGTAAGGACAATGTCATCTACGTAGACAATGAGAATGGATGACTCCCCCCTTTCTGATCGCTTGATAAAAAGAGTATGATCTGCTTGACACTGTGCGTATCCAAACTTCTTTACAGCTTTAGAAAATCGGCCGAACCAAGCTCGAGGTGACTGCTTTAGTCCATACAATGACTTCTTGAGTTTGCAGACTTTATTATTTGTTGCTTGTGTTCCGAGACCAGGAGGAATCTCCATGTATACTTCTTCTTCGAGATCGCCGTTGAGGAAGGCATTCTTGACATCAAGTTGGAATAGTGGCCATTCTAGATTAGCTGCAAGGGATAGGAGTCTTACAGTATTGAGTTTTGCAACTGGGGCAAATGTTTCCTGGTAATCAATACCATAAGATTGCGTGAATCCCTTTGCAACTAGTCGAGCTTTGAATCGTTCTACACTCCCATCTGACTTGTGTTTTATCGTGAATATCCATTTGCAGCCCACGGGTCGTTTTCCTTGTGGCAAGTCAACTACCTCCCATGTATTGTTCTTTTCTAAGGCCCGAACTTCTTCCATAATAGCTGCCTTCCAATGTGGTATCTCAATAGCTTCATGAATATTGTTAGGGACCTGTATCTTGTCAAGATTGGAGACAAAAGCACGATATTCTGGAGATAATCTTTTGTAAGACAGGAAGTTATAAACAGGATGACTTGTGCAGGATCTAACTCCTTTTCTTACAGCAATGGGCCGATCATCATAAAGCTCAAGAGTAGATGAGACAGATTAGGAGTTACCTGGTGTTGCTTCTGAAAGACTTGGAGTTGGTTCCGACTCTTGGATTTGCTGAGGGAATGTTGGTTGTTCTATCTCCTTTCGATGCCATTTCTTTTTGGAATAAACACGAAGCTCACTATGTTTAGCAGGAGAATGGTGTGATGGAGATTTGGAGGGTAACTCTTGAGGTGGATTATGTGAATGGGCTTCAACAAGAGATTCGAGCGACTGAGTGTTTGAATTGGGATCAAGAGTATGAAGGTCATGATGAGAAACACGTAGGTCATGATGAGGTTGGGTTTCAATGATGTCCTAAAAATGATGTTCTTTTGACACACTCTATCCCTGAACATTAGTTTTTGGGTAGTAGGGCTGTTCCTCAAGGAATGTAACATCCATCGAGTTATAGAATTTCCTTGTGATGGGTGAGTAACATTTATACCCTTTTTGATTTGGTGAGTACCCAAGAAAAATGCATTTGATTGCTCTGGGATCGAGTTTGCTTCGGTTATGCGGATAAACATGAACAAAGGCTGAGCATCCAAACAGTTTGGGTGGAATGTTGGAAATGAGATGACTTTCTGGACAAGCTTTGAGAAGGACTTGACTCGGAGTTTGAAATTTTAGCACACAGGATTGCATTCTGTTGATAAGATAAGCTGCCGTAAGGACAACTTCTCCCCAGAAGTGTTTTGGAACATGAGAAGTGAACATCAAGGACCTAGCAACCTCAAGGAGATGCCTATTTTTTCTCTCCGCTATCCCATTCTGTTCATGAGTGTCGACACAAGAACTCTGATGAATAATACCCTGACTGTTCAGATAATCTCTTAGAACAGTTTTGAAATATTCTTTTGCATTATTTGTCCTGAAGACTTGGATTTTTGTTTGGAATTGTGTTTGGATCATGGTGTTGAAATTTTTGAAGATTTGCTCTACTTCTGATTTTTCTTTCATGAGAAATATCCAGGTAATTCTTGTGTGATCGTCAATAAAAGATACAAACCAACGTGACCCGGTGATATTTTTAATATTGGATGGTCCCCAGACATCACTATGAATCATAGAGAAAGGATGTGACATGTTATATGATCGGCTAGGATATGAATTACGAACATCCTTTGAAAGATGGCACACTTCACATTGAAAATTCTTAGATCTTTTATTTCTGAATAATGAAGGGAACAATTTTTCAAGATAAAAGAAATTAGGATGTCCTAGACGATAGTGCCATAACATAATTTCACTATCCTTATTAGAAGAAATAGAAACATGACTATTGTGAGACTGACTTGACAAGACTGCTTCGTGAGCTTGTTTTTCCACAAAGTGATTGCCTTTGAGGAGATAGAGTCCTGAGCACTCCTCAGCACTGCCAATCATCTTTCCCGAATCCAAGTCCTGAAATTCACACAATTTTTGGAAGAATTTAGCAACACACTTCTTATCTCGAGTCAGTTTACTAATTGACAATAAATTATAATCAAGATTTGGTACAAGTAAGACAGATTGAAGGGACAGAGTCTTAGAAACTGTGACCGAACCAAATCCTGCAACTCTTGAAGTGGAGCCATCTGCAATCTTAACTGAGTGATTTCCATTGTTAGGCACAAAATCAGTAAGAAGAGATTTATCTCCCGTCATGTGGTCTGAAGGGCCTGAGTCAATGATCCAAATATTTTTCCTTTCCTTGCTAACAATTAAGGCCTTTAAAAAATTACCTTTTTGAGCAAGGGACCCTGTAGCAACAGTAGAAGAGCTTGTGGATTGGCTGATCATCTTTTGAAGAAGTTAAAGCCACTCTTTGCTAAAGAGAATCGGTTCTGAGGTGTTGTTCTCACTGGCTGAAGATGCAATGTTGCCACGGCTTTCAGTTGTTGAACGTGAGGGTTTCCAATCAGTAGGTTTCCCGTGAATCTTCCAACAAGTATCCCTTGTATGGCCTGTCTTTCGGCAATGTTCACACCGGGGTCTGCCTCCTCTTCTCACCTTGTTTTCTGTGTTGTTCAGTTGTGGTCCACGTACAGCAAGGGCTGATCCTTCAGTGGCTGCGGCTGTGGGCTGATTGTTTAGTGTTCCTAGCATCACTTTCTTCCGGCTTTCTTCCCTCCTTACCTCCGAGAAGGCTTCTCTTAGACTTGGTAGTGGCTTTGTACCCAGAATTCTCCCACGGACTTCATCTAAATCTTTGTTAAGTCCCATTAGAAACTTAAACACTCGTTTCTTTTCAATAATCTGCCTATACCGATTTCCATCACTCGGACTCTCCCAAGTATACTCTTCAAACAAGTCTAACTGTTGCCAATAACGAGTAAGAGTATTATAGTATTAGGTAACAGAGGTTTCACCTTGTCGGAGATCATGGAGAATGGTTTCCACACCAAATAGTTCAGAGGTGTTTTCTTTGCTGGAGTAGGTATCTTTGGTAGCATCCCAAATTTCTTTGGCAGTACTATAGAGAAGAAAATTTTCTCCAATATCATTGATCATAGAGTTAATCAGCCAAGACATCACCATGCTGTCCTCAGCCCTCCAAGACCGGTATTTGGGGTCTTTTTCTCCTGGTGAAGTTGACAGGCCTGTGAGGTGGTCATCATTTCCTTTCCCACGAACAAACATGAGAACGGACTGTGACCACTGCAAATAGTTATGCCCGTTCAGCTTGTGGCTTGTGATTGGCAGAACTCCACTGCTGTCCGAGCCTCCATTGATCCCTGCCATTGGGGTTTCCTGACTGGAGGTAAATTCTGAAGTGGAGCTTCCACGGTCTGCTGCCATGCCATATTTGGCCATTGAATATTGGACTAAAGGAAGAAGGAATGAAAAGAAAAAGGACTACTAGACAGAGTCAGAAACCAGGCTCTGATACCATAAAGAAATGAATGAAAAATTATAATACTTTTCATTGATCTGGAATGGTAAAAAGCTGCACTTATATACAAGAGTGTGGCCTGATCTACAGCCTTATTATCAGGGAAAATAAAGGCTAATTTCTAGTCTAACGTAATCAAGAAATATCATGATATATTTCCTGATTTCCTAAATCAACTAAATAAGGAAAGATGACAGCTAGAGGCCTCTACAGCCTGTCAAATCTACAGCATGTTACAGCTGTGAATGGGCTGAATAATCTGGATTTTTAACACTTATATTATCAATTGAATAAACTTCAGGTATATTTATACACAGAAAAACGTAAAAGCTGATCCTAAGAAAACTCCTAGATACTAGGAACTACGTTACATATTTCTAGGAATTAGTTTACAACAGAACTTACAAAGTAGCATCAATTATATCCATGATTCTAGGAACCTAACAATCCTCTCGGCTAGTTTGAATTTCAACAGTTTTCTTTAATTTGATCTTCTTATTGATTTGATGTCTTTGAATTAATTTTGGAGTTTATTGTGGGCCATAAATATTTAGCACTTTTTCTGAGGAGGTGAACTCTATTTTGTTCTCTCCTGCGGACGTGTTCTGTCCAAAATGAGGGAAACTGAAAACAGTAAAAGAGTATCCTCAATGAATTCAGCTATTTTGGGGATTTTATTTGTGCACCCTTACCAAGTCTTTTCCCGCCTGTTTTGTAGGTTGCCAGGGAGTTGTCATTTCAAATTTCTGCTGAATATTCCTTGACTGAACCTCAAGTTGCACGTGTAATTTCGGAAGCAACTTTCATACGACGCTGCTCTTTTCATTGGAAATAGTATGGCTATACATGATGCAGACATGTATGGGCATGGATGGTCAAGATGTACACATAATACTTCAGCTATGATTTTAAACTCGGAACTATTTTTTCATTTGATTTGGGTGGTTGGGAACAGAGGAGCCAGTGGTATTGATGGGTTGGTTAGTACAGCTATTGGCTTTGCCTGTAGGATGCAATAAATGGGTAAGCCATGAGAGGTCTTCATATTTTTTGGTCACCGCTGGAGACTAGTTATGGTAGACATAATCTGAGAAATATTTTTGTCATTATTCAATGGCTTCTTTCGTTCAGTAGAGGTTCTATTTTCTTTCTTTTTCCTATTTCCTTTTCCTACCTAAAAAAATTAAACTATCATAATGCTGACTTAATATTCAGGTTCTTTGTGTGATTGGAGATGTTTCTTTCCTTCATAATACCAATGGGTTGGCAATTTTGAGCCAAAGGTAGGGAGCTTATCTATTTGGTTTTGCAGGCTTGGGTTATTATTTTGTGGTCCTTTTTTTTTTCCCCTCTTTTTTAAACCCTCTTAATTATAGTTTGGTAGAAATATTGATTACTATTACCTTGTAAGATTAGCAGCATGTTTTTCTGTTAGGTACTGAGTAATGTAATATAGTTAGTAATTAGTTTAATTGACGAGTGTTATTTTAGCAAATTGTTAGACGGTAGTTATTAGTATAAGAGGGGTTTAGCAGTGAGTGGAAGGCTTATGTCTGATTTGTGAGTGATTTGGGTATTCTTTAGGGCTTGGGAAACCAAGATTTGGGAGAGTTGCAGCCTCTCGAATGCTGCTCTATCAGTATTTCTTCATTTTATTCTGATTCAATAAAGCTTAATTTCTGCATAAACCCCAACTCCACCTAGCCAAACACTAATAAACCTCCCTAATTCTTACCCTGCCAACTCAACACACACACACACACACACACACGCACACACATATTAGTCATTCTCTGAATTTACATTAAGACCCCTCATTAGCCTAAACCTTCCTAGGCTGATGTGTAACAGAACCTTTATTTAAATCTCGTATGTCTGATGCCGAAGTGTGGTCCACTTTCTTTTGCTAATCTGTAGGCAGCTTTCATGGTTCCAACTGAGTTGCTTGCAATCCAGCATTATGATCATTTAAATAATTTGCTTGAAAAGCATGGAGGAAGTTGAGTGCAAACCTTCTATTGCGTTACTAACAGGTTCAACCCAGTTAAAACAATCACGGATGATACGTAAGGTACCAATAACCATCCTGGACTTTTGCTTTCTTACTTCTAATATCTATAGTCTTACCATTAAAATAACGTATTTCAGGATCTTCAAACTGGAGACATATTAATAGTCACTGCCCATTGGAACCCGCAGTTTGATTGCTGAAAGGTGGAGTTCTCTGCACTGCAGATTGCTGTAGTGGATGAGCAGCATCGTTTTGGTGTGATCCAGAGAGGAAGGTTCAACAGCAAGGTAGTGTGTTTTTATATGATTAGCAATTAGCATGATGATTATGGCTGATTAGTCTTTGGTGATGATACAGAATTGATACGGAATGGTAAGTAGAAATGTTATTAAGCACGAATTATTGAATTGAAACAACCTGCAAAGATGGAAAATGGTGTTGGATAGTCGAAAACGATTCCCAAGTTGCATCAAAGGTGGGCATCCCCTGCCAGTGGATCAACACCTCCACGTCACCCCCGCTGCCCTCTCTAGGCTGGCGAACACCCAAAACCTCTGCTGGCTCCATCAACATCTCCATGTTCGCGGTAAGCTAAGCAGGAAGCTCCTGAGAGGCCTCAGCCGATCCCAAACAACGCTTGAGTTGGGACACATGGAAAACCGGGTGAATGTGAGCTGACTCAGGAAGCTGCAAACGGTAAGCCACCTTACCAATCCGCTGTGCCACCTCATAAGGGCCAAAGAAACGGGGTGCCAACTTCTCATTCCTGCGACGGGACAATGACAGTTGCCGATAAGGACGCAGCTTGAGAAACACCAAATCACCCACCAAAAACTCGACATCCCGCCTCTTGCCATCGGCCACCCCCTTCATCTTATCATGTGCCCGTAGCAGGTGTAACTTCAGTTCATCCAGAGCAACGTCTCTGTCCTCCAACTGACGGTCAAGCGACGCTACTGTTGTCTTGCCGGAACCAAACCGGATCAAGGGTGGAGGGTCTCGGCCATACACCACACGAAAAGGTGTAGTATTGGCCGCCGAATGGTATGATGTATTATACCAATACTCGGCCCAAGCCAACCAACGCATCCATTGACGAGGTTTGTCAGACGCGAAACAACATAAATACGTCTCGACACAACGGTTGACCACCTCTGACTGACCGTCTGTCTGAGGGTGATATGCAGTACTACGCTTGAGTGATGTCCCTTGAAGACGAAACAACTCAGTACAGAAACCGCTTAAGAAAACCTTGTCACGGTCTGACACAATGGAACGGGGAATCCCATGCAAGCGAACCACCTCCCGCATGAACAAATGAGCCACCGCCGGAGCGGTAAAAGGATGACGAAGTGCCACAAAATGGGCATACTTACTCAATCTATCCACCACAACCAATATAGTGTCATAGCCTTCGGACTTAGGAAGGCCTTCAATGAAATCCATAGACAAATCCTCCCAAATCTGATCCGGAATTGGGAGAGGTTGCAAAAGCCCCGCGGGCAACAAATTGGAATGCTTGTTGCGTTGACAAACCGTACAGCGACCGACATACTCCTTAACCTCCTTGAACATGCCACCCAATACCAAACAGAGGCTAAGCGGCGGTAAGTTTTGAACACCCCTGAGTGCCCGCCAACCGGGCCATCATGCGCTTCTTGTAATAGGGCAGCCACTAACGGGGAAGACTTGGCCAAGACTAGCCGACTCTTGTACAAAAGCCGACCCTGCTCCAACGAAAAACCAAGATAGCTGGTGTCCCCCTGTAACAAAGCCTGATAAACTCCCATCAGCCGGGAATCCGACAGCACCTGTTGCTGTATCACCCCATAGTCCAAACCGTGTACAAACGATAGCATGCATAAAGAGGGCATCCCTTCCACACAAGAAAGCACATAAGCAGCCTTGTTCTCTATTCCCGGCCTGTATTGGATGTCAAAGTCATACCCCAACAGTTTAGTAACCCATTTTTGGTGCTCAGTACTAATCAGTCGCTGCTCTAACAGAAATTTCAAGCTCTGTTGGTTAGTGCGAACGATAAAACGCCTTCCAAGCAAATATGGTCGCCATTTCTGCACGGCCAAGACGATTGCCATCAACTCACGCTCGTAAATTGAACGTGCCCTGCCTCGAGGGGACAAAACATGGCTGTAAAAGGCAATTGGACGACCATTTTGCATCAACACTGCTCCTAGTCCATAGCCGGAAGCATCCGTCTCAACCACAAATGGCTGAGAAAAATCCGGTAAGGCCAACACCGGAACCGTAGTCATGGCCTTCTTCAATGCCACAAACGACTCCTCTGCCGCTTGATTCCACCCAAACTGATCCTTTTTGAGTTGCGTAGTCAAAGGACTAGCCACCATCACATAATTCTTGACGAACTTACGATAATATCCAATGAGACCTAAGAAACCCCTCAACTCCCGCAGTGTCTTGGGTGCTGGCCAATTCAGCATTGCTTCAATCTTCCTCTCATCAGCCGCCACCCCCTCGGCTGAAATAATATGCCCGAGATACTCCAATGAAGATTGGCCAAAACAACACTTTTTATCATTAACTCTCAAACTATGCTGCCGCAGTAACTCAAAGACCCAAAACAGGTGCTCCACGTGCTCTTCCAAGGTCGCACTATAAATCAAGATGTCGTCAAAAACACCAACACAAACTTCCGTAGGAAACACTTAAACACCTCATTCATTAAGGCCTGAAAAGTGGCCGGCGCGTTTGTCAATCCAAACGGCATTACCAAAAATTCATAGTGCCCTTCGTGGGTTCTAAACGCTGTTTTTGGTACATCCTCGGCGCGCACCCTAATTTGGTGATACCCCGAACGAAGATCCAACTTGGAAAAGATCTTCACCCCATGCAACTCATCCAACAATTCATCTATTAGCGGAATAGGGAACCAGGCAGGGACAGTAGCGCAATTCAAAGCTCTATAATCCACACAAAAACACCAACTCCCGTCTTTTTTCTTAACCAAAAGTACCGGACTCGAGTACGGGCTGACACTAGGTTGAATGATGCCCACTTGTAACATTTCGTTAACCAAGCGCTCAATCTCATCTTTCTGCACCTGTGGATAGAGATACGGCCGCACCCTAATCGGAGTCATTCCCTCTTGAAGTACAATCGCATGATCACGAGCCCGAGTCGGTGGTAATCCCTGCGGCTTCTCAAAAACAGCAGCAAACTGCCGCAATACTTGTGAAATCTCCTCTGGAATTTCCGTCTGCTTCCCCTCCCCTGCGACCTGTACACATCCCAACTCCACTAAGATTCCCTCTCCTGCTTTCTTGATTGTTTTCAGCATGGACTTTAAAGAAACCAATGTCCTACTGAGACTTGAATCCCCCTGCAACGTAACCGTTGACTCTCCCACCTTGAACTTCATTGTTAATGTCTGCCAATTAACAGTCATATTGCCAAGGGATCCCAACCATTGCATGCCCAATATGACGTCCGAACTCCCCAGCGCAAGGGGTAAAAAATCCTCAACCACCTCCACCCCTTGCAACCCCAACACCAATCCCCTGCAAATCCCACTCCCCTTCACAGCCTTCCTGTTCCCATAATCACCCCATACTCCTGGGTTGTAACTAATGGCAGGTCCAACCTCCACACCAATTCCATGGAAATAAAATTGTGGGTGGCTCCCGAATCGATGAGCACAACCACCTCCTGACTCCCAACTAATCCCCGTATTTTCATGGTTTTTGGAGTGGTGATTCCCACCACTGAATTCAAAGAAAGTTCCACTACCTCTTCCTCATTCACTGCTGTAATTTCTTCCTGTTCAATTTGACTAACTTCCTCTTCCTTTTCTAAAATCAAAATCTGTAATTCCTTATTCTTACAAACATGTCCAAAGTAATATTTCTCATCACATTTAAAACAGAGGCATTTTTCTCGTCTTTTCTGGATTTCAGCCTCAGAAAAACGCCTAACAGTAGGCATATCTGTTGGCTGAAACGACTTGTCGTTTTGTGAAGGGCCAAACGACCTATCGTTGGACATGGCTGATTTGAGGATATTTGTTGATTAGCTCCGAAAGGCCTGGTTATATGGTTGTTGTCGCATCCACGGGCTGGACGTCGTTCCTTTAGCTCCTCTCAAAGCAAAATTTCGATCCTCCACTCTCCGCGCCAGTTCGATGATCCGGTTCAACCCGCTCGGCTGAAGCAGGCAAATTTCCGCCCTAATCTCCGGCTTAAGACCGTTGATGAAGTCCTTCGAGGATCGCCGTGGGAATCTCCGTCAAAGGCGCGGCCAGCATCTCAAAATCCCTTATATACGCGCGCACTGTTCCTTCCTGCCGGAGAGCAAGGAACTTCTCGCAGTTCGACCCCTCCTGCGATGGTCGGAAACGGTCGAGCAACAACTTCTTGAATTCTAGCCAGTCGCGTATGGGCCGGCGCCCGTCTGTCCACTGAAACCAAGCCAGAGCCTCGCCATCGAGACTAATGGCTGCCGCCTCCAATTTCTCCTTTTCTCCCATGCGATTTAGGGCAAAAAATCGCTCAGCACGGAAAATCTAGCCATCTGGATTTGTGCCTTCAAAAATCAGCATTTCGATTCGCCTTGTCATCCCTCCCAACCGAAATTCTCCTTCTCGGTGCTCATACGCCGGTCCGCCTCCGTTCCCATTCTCAGCCCTAGCCTCCCTATATTCTGAATCCTCTCCTCCTTGTTTCTATAACAACGAGTCCAATTTCCCCAAAATCAATGCGACATTCTTCTCCAATGCAGGAATCTTCTGCAAATCATCCTTAACTTATTCCATCTCCTTTGCAATTCCCTCCCAAACAGAACTCAACTGTTCTTCCACGGTACCCAGTCTTTCCTCCAATTTCCTGGCCGCCATCACAGATTACGCAAGATCGACGCTCTGATACCAATTTGATACAGAATTGATACGGAATGGTAAGTAGAAATGTTATTAAGCACGAATTATTGAATTGAAACAACTATCGGAAGATTGAGACAAGAATCTTTCCGGACACAATTCCTACACTCAGGTTTTCGAGAGACTTGAACTCTCCAACTTCTCACAAAACAATTCTCTAACTAACTCTCCTCTGTTTTCCCTTCTATATATCCCCTGATTCTACAATAGACAACCCCACCCCCCGCGCAGAATCCCTAATCTACCCCCGTCTTTTATTTCTCCTTATGTAAGTAAAGTGCACCGGTGGCCTATCAGGTGATTGTTTCAAAAAAAAAAAAAAAAAAAAAAGCCTTTGGCCAGTGTTATTGATCTATCAATAAACTTTTTTTTTAATAAGTTTTTTGTCAGTTATTGGTGTATCTCTTGCATCGCACATGATGTTTATACATGTATATCCAGTCTATGGTCTGAAGAAGCCCCACCAGATGCACAATTACCCGAAGATCTTTTTAGGAAGAAACACGGTTACTCAAAACCTACCAAGTGATGGGTTCGACAGAAAATCAATGGAGTGAAATTCTTCACACCTAAACAGATGAAACTAACTTTGATTTGAGATATTTAGCAACTCCAAAAATACCAAAAAAAAAAAAAAGAGCATCTATTGCATGTCTTATTTCCATGCCTGGAGATTAGACACCTTAAGTATTCCAGTGTGGATTTGGGAGATTAAGATGTGGTCGTTGCTTCTCTAATTTATTCTTTGCTTTCTTAAATTTTGTATTATCATCATGTCTGATATTATGTTAATGAATGGTTCTTTAACTTGTTCCATTTATTCACTTAGAATTTTATTTAACAGCAATAACTGTACTGTATCGATGATGTCATATGTACGATATCAGTGCAGATGGCTGGCTTTAGCTTCTTTTTTTCTTTATTTATTTATTCAAACCCTCTCAAATACTGCAACACTATTTTGGATGCATTTGAGTTTCTGATACCAGTCAGAAATGAAAATTCAGATACTAGGATTAGGGAAGGAGAAAGAGATGAGCTAAATGAATTTTTAATCTGGTGTATATTGCTATTCTCTGACACCTCTGTTCATATAGGTTAGTTCATATCATGAGGAGGATGGCTATTTTCTTTGGGATAAAATAAAGTATTGGGTTTCATTATGGGTTTATAGGGATAAAAGCTTGGTAGACCTATTTTTTCGGATTTTATCAGGAGTTGAGCTCCTTTTATTTAGCCTTACTCTTGTTTTATGGAGAAGCTAATGCTTCGTTTTCGGTCTTAAACTTCATTGTATTTTTGGGTTTGGTTTGGTGAGGATAATTCTTCCTCCCTCCCCTTTCCTATATAATCAATAAAGTTTGTTTCTTCTTAAAAAAAAAAAAAGAGTTATGGAAGTCATGATTACAATCATATGTGTCCAAAAAAAATAAAAATAACTAATAATGTCAACACATGCTGGTTGTCTAAATTTTATTTTAACATGCGTAATTTTTTTTTTTTTTTTGTCCCCTTGATTCTGCAATGATTTGTGGAGTAACTGAGTGAGGGAACTAATCCTGCAGTTGGGCAATACTTCCATATGTTCAAGACTTGCTTCAGAAAATTCGGATGACTCCTCACAAACTGATAAGTTTATGGCTTCTCATGTTCTTGCCATGTCTGCCACTCCTATCCCGAGGACTCTTGCTCTGGCTTTATACGGAGATGTGTCCCTGACACAAATATACAATGTTTCTATCCTGTCGCTCCATATTAGTTTGCTTATATGTTTTTCTTTGTCATGTTGCATGAAGCTCATAGAGAAAATTTCGTGTGGTCTCCGCATATTTTGAAACGACAAGTAGTTTTGTTGCAAAGTTATAAGAAAATTGTTTGAGATTAAAGATCAGAAGTTCAAAGGAAGTAGGTATCAATTGTGTGTGTTTTATCAACGTGGTTATGGATGGAATGAATGTTAGAGTTATGCTAGGACGATATTGTTCAGTTATTGAGCTTTTTGTAGTTCTTTTAACATCTTTTGTTCTTTTGGATAAAGCTAAATGATCTTTTAATTTCATCGGACACACTTCATACACAAAAGATGTTAAAGGAACTACAGAAAGCTCAATAATTGAACAATATTTGATTTTAGCAACTTGTAATATGCTTCTAATACTTGGAAATTAGCAATGTGTCTATTACAAGTCGTTTATTCTAATATGCTTCTAATACTTGGATGTTTTCGATCTTTCTTATAATATTTGATTTTTGTGCTTTCACTTGAGGAATCATGGAAGAATGCAAAGTACATAAGGAAGCATTCTTATTCGTCCGTAGACTAAAACCTTTTATATTAAAAATACTGTTAAATATGTGGGAAGCAGTGAAAGAAGTCATGAGTCAGAGAGAGAGAGAGACGAAAACCTTTATATTAAAAATATTGTTAAATATGTGTTAAGCAATGAAAACAAGTCATGAGAGAGAGAAGAGATTAGTGTTTGATTGTTTCCACTTTAAAGGTCTATACATCGAGCACAAATAAATTCACAATTTTTTATCCTTGAAACTACTGTGTAAGTATTTCTGTAAGAGTTCATCTATACTTAGGGGTTAGCATTTTCATTTCAAGGACAATATGTTAATTTATTTGAGTGGCAATGATTTTTTGATTCTTTGCTTTCGTTTGGAATGTTATTTCATGAATATGATATCATATTTAACAGATAATCCTAGATGAATTACAAGGAGGAAAACTGTATCTTGTGCATCCAGTCATCAAACAATCTGGACAGCTGCCTCTACTTCTTGTAGCTGCAGCAGACTTTGAAGCTTTATCCTGCAGGTTTCAGGACTATCCTGCATGGAAAAATGAAGAGCGACGAGAAAGACGAGGCACTTAAACACTTTAGATGTGGAGAAACTCATATACTGCTTTCCACACAAGTAATTGTGGTTAGTGTTGATGTTTTGAATGCATCACTGATGGTTGTTATGAATGCTGAGAGGTTTGTGATAGCTCAGTTACACCAACTTAGAGGACGAGTTGGGCATGGAGCTAGGAAATCCAAATGCATATTTGTGACATCTACTGCTACTAGCCTTAACCGATTGAAGGTACTCGAGAAATCATGGGATGGTTTTCACTTGGCTAATGTGGACCTTTCTTTACACGGACCTGGTGACTAAACAGTCCGGACATCTTCCAGAGTTTCCTATTGCCAGATTGGAAGTAGATGGGAATATTTTACAACAAGCACGCCTTGCTGCACTGGTAAATGTTATTCCTTTGAGCACAATTTTATCAGTGACCTTTCTGAAAATTGTCAATTTTTTACAATTTTGTTCATTAATTATTGTTAGTGTGTTAATATTTCTGCTATAAAGTTGTTCTTGATGTAGGCTGCTTGGAGACCGCCCTCTTTGAAACTTGGTGGCTTAACAATATGGAATTCGAAGTTTAGAATTTGTAAACGAATCACTAAATTTAGAGAATAATTATGGATGAAGCTAAACAATGCAAAAGAGGTGGACAAGAAATTATTTCAGAATTTGTGAAATAATAGAATTACTAAGGATAATACTAGAAGAAAAAAATTTTGAGGTCTAATTTGGTTAGAAAGGTATTTAGACAGGACACAAGGAGGCAAAATATTATAAGGATGATTGGTATTGCCAGTTCATTGAACAATACTTCTGACAACTAACTTAGAAATTGAGAAGAACCTGATACATATACATCCTTAAAACTTTTTTTAATTTTTTTCCTCTCACTATAATTGATGCTTATACTGGACTTCTCTAACGTGTTTTGGTTAATCTGGTTGCAGAAGATTTTAAGTGCTTCTCACGAGTTGGAGAAATTCCTGCTGCTCAAACCAGAGCTTAGCATGAAACGGCCACTTTCTTTTCTGGGTGATTGAACTCATGGTAAAACAAGGTCTTTAAACCATGCCCAAATTATTAACTCTTGCACTGATGACACCTAAACTGCTGGTTGCCTTCAATTATTACAGACTTCATCATCTGTTTCAAGTTGCTATAACGGACTTCCTCACACTGAATTTAACATTTTTACGTCGTCCTGAACTCTTCTAATTCACAGCTTAGATAAAACAATGCAATAAGACCAAGAAGCGTAAAGTTCTCTCACATTTTTGTGGGTCCTTATTCAACACCAAGGGAACAACAGGTGGTCATCACTGTCGTCTGTATCCATTATAAGTCCCTTTTTTTTTTTTTTTTTTGTGATAGTAATGGCCGCCATTTTGGAGGATGGATTTTTGTTCAATCTGTATATGGATAGCATTCGTCAATAGGGCTTCTCCACTTTCTTTTTTTTTTTTTTTTTTTTTTTTTTTTGGGGTTTCCAGTGAAGCAAACATGCCTCAGCTAAGCAAGTTATTAGAAGCGTGGCCTCTAGAAAATCCACACTCTGTTTATCCTGACTGAAAACCTTGTCGCCGAAGCCACGGCTTGTTTGTAGATTGACTCTTGACTAATATAAGTTTTTTGTTCTTGTACATATATGTTTGATAACATCGCATCTTAGCAAACTATCTTGCCCTTTTGTTAAACGTCTAAAATAGTCCGTTTAGTGCTAGACTAGTTTGTGGTCTTCTGCATACTCCCAACACAAGTTTCGTATACAAGGGGTTTATTGAATTAAAGCATCCATGATACAATAATTTCTTCAGGAGAAGAAATTACACACACACACACACACACATTAAATAAAAATAATTCCAAGGATTACTATTATCTGCGGCCTCCTTGAACATGAATCTTTATCTTATTTTAGAATCTTAACTTTAAAAATTTTGAACCTTACCATCTAATGTTATTTTGTCATGTTATATCTCTATTAATTTCCTCTATGTTCTTGAAAACGTTTGTGGTATGTGGTTGAAAAATCAGAAATGATGTCTTTTACAAGATGTGGATTCTATTTTATAGGTTGACATTTATTTTAGACTTGATCACGAAAGTTGTTTTAGAAACTTATTAAGCTTGAATGAAAGTTAAGTTGAAGATTAACTTAACGACAAGATTATTAGTAATCACTGCCTCTCTTGCTATTCGCCTGATGACACTTCCATCTTTGTATTTTGTTTTTAAAAAAAGAAAAAAGAAGTTGGAGATTTTCTGGTGATGTTGATTTGGAGAATCTCTATTATTCGTTTTCTACTTCTGAAAACAAAAAAAACAAAAAAGCGCAAGTGTTGCGAAGGCGTAATCTAACATTCTAATAATTCAAATGTAACGTGACTTGACTTATGATTTGGTTGTATATTGAATGGATAATTTGGTTTTTGTTAAACAAAAAAGCGCAAGTGTTGCGAAGGCGTAATCTAACATTCTAATAATTCAAATGTAACGTGATTTGACTTATGATTTGGTTGTATATTGAATGGATAATTTGGTTTTTGTTAACATGTTGTATCATTGTTCCGTAATTGTTCGTGTACCTGTCCAAGAGAGAATTTGTTGAAAATTATTAGCAGCTTAAGGGTTAATTATTTAGTCTATACTTATAATGGTAACAAGTGAAAGAGCTTTCTCAAATAATGCAACGTTCTCCGCTTAAAGAAGGTAACATGAGAAAAATTTTCAATATTGAAATTTTCATTTTGAAAATTCTCCACATTTTAGAGTTTAGTAGGTAATATGGATTTGGGAGAGTGCTTTTCTGCAATAATGCAATGCACAAGATGGAGCACTCTTTTATTTCTACTCATTAACATTAGTCTATATATTTCTATCTTTTAGATTAAAACTAGACAAATGATAGAGTTTTTTAAAATGAATACTTTTAATAAGTTAAATACTTACCAAAGTAAAATCTGTAATGTTTTTTGGATTAACTCACGGCTCATTCTATTATGAAGTCTTACCATGAGGTTGCACTAGTATAAGCGCATTTTGTACCTTTTTATTCATAATTTCATTTGAATTAGATACTTTAGAAATCATTATCGCTAGTAAGAAGTAATCATATTCTTTGCCCCCCAACACAAAAAAAAAAAAGTTAATTGTCGGACTCCGAATTTTTAATTTTGATAAATAACATCTTAAATTTTCTAATTGGTTACAAATTGTAATTGTGGTTCAATAATTAACGAACATTGATTAGTAGACGGAAATTGCCCAAGACTTTTACACAAATGCAGCTGAATTTTTTATTGATTAGCAAGTTGGATCTTAAATTTTTTAAACTTTAATTTTTGAATTTGAATTATTGTCTATTAATTGACATACGTTATAAATTGGACTGTATTGTCAAAGATTATAAAATTTAGAGTTCAAAAAGTTAAAACTAAAAGTTTTCGATACGACATGTACATATGATAAATTTAAGATGCATTAATTTAATTTACTTAAAAAAATAAGAAGAAAAAACCTATTGTAATACAGAGTAAATTATGAGTGGACACTTGATTTACGAATTCAGATTCATAATTCAGAATCATTTTCAATTTACGTATATTTTTTATGAGATAAAATACTATAACGAGTCATGAACTATGATTCAAATTACGACACGTATACTCATATTAAATACCCTCTAAATAAGGTTAAAACGCGAGAGAACAGGAAAGAGCAAAACCTAAAATGTTTTTTTGAAGCGGATGAAATTCCTAATCGATGATATCATATGTACACATATAGTGAAGAGTTTCAAAGGGGAAAATTTGCTCATAAATGATATCATATGTTGTACATGCGTGTGACTGACATATACTTGTCTAATATTATTATTAACTGATAAATAAAGAATGAAAATTTAATTATGTTTTGCAACATAATGAATGAAGAGGTGACTAGACTAATGAGGGTAATAAGCGATGGGCCCCACCTGCCGTCCACTGGGATTACAAGACACGATCTGTTTTGATGGACAAAACCCAATCAGCCAGTCACGAGGGAGAGGACAAGCAGACCAAGTGGGCCCCATGCGGTCCCCTACCCAATCATCATTTGTTGGGTCCATGCCCTCCGTGTTCCACGTAATGTCCCAAAAGTCATGATCGAAGTGAGGTAGGACCCACTTTTCCATGCTTTTGCTTCTTTTATTTTATTTTACTTTATTTTAATTTGAAGAGATTCGAATTCTACACATCGCAGTGGTGGTGGAAAGTAAAATTATTGTTAGGCTATTCCTATTCTTTTACCAAGTTCTACGAGTCTAGTTTTAAAATATGCAACCTACAATTAAGAAGTGTGGATATTTATAGATCAGTCTCAAATTTAATTAGATAATTAAAGGTATATTCTTTTGTTCAAAAAAACTCAAAAAAAGACGATTTAAGTTTTAATTTTATTAAAGTTCACGTTTTTTTAAGTTTTAATTTTATTCAATTTTACTCAACTTTATTCAAGTTCTAACTTCAACTCAAGTTATAACTCAAATTTAACTCAAAAACTACACTCAAGTTACACTCCAAAAGAATAACCCCTAAATCACTAATGAGTTGGTATAACATTAAATACGTTTTTCTTTCTCTTTCTTTTTTGAGGATGCACTTTAAGTTTGATATTAAGGTCTCGATTCGCAAATTTGAGTTTTAAATTTGAGTTGAGATGTGACATTTTTTTTAAAGTTTTTAACTGTAGAAACTTAAAATTAAAAATTGAATCAGTGAAATAAATGAGACTTAAAACTCTGTCTAACCAATCTATATGTAACATTAAGGGTCCATTTAGTTCACTGATTCAAGTTTTTAATTCAAGTTGAGATGTGACTTTATGTGAGAGCTTTTTACTGTAGTAAAAAAGTTAGATGTGATTATTTTTTAGAGCTTTTTACTGTAATAAAATTTAAATCGGTGAAATGAACGGAACTTAAATGTGTGGTGGTATGAACAAAAATGAGTCAATTAGAATATATCACTTCGATAGTAGTATTATTTAATTCTATTACTTTTGTAGAAAATTTGAAATATATGGCTTTTAATGAGTTACAAGAAAAATTTACTCTAGACAATTAGATATAGTTAATCATTGATTAATTGGAGTTGATTAATATTTAATTTAAGGGTTGAAAATTAGGTATAAATGAATGGTAGTATAGACTTCATACCACTTGAAAATTATATTAATCAATGAAAATAAAATAAAATGGTAGAAACCAACAAGCGACTCTTTAGAAATGGTATATAGTTAAATTAGCTTAATAAAGAATAATTTTATTGAACCATAGTTGGACGGAAGGCACAGAATCCTTGGGATATCCAAAATAGGAGGAAAAGAGGGTGAACAAAACAACCGGACCGTTTGTTTTTGTTTTCTTTTTTACGCTTTTCAATGAAGAAAAATTAAAACGGGAAATAAAAATGTGTTTGGGAAGAATCCGTACCAAAACTAAAAATAAAAACGTTTTTAAATTTTTCTCAAAAACTCATTTTTTTTGAAAACGGATGAAATCCGTTTTTCTTTTTCTCCCTTCGTTCTTCTCTCTCTTCTCTGACTGCCCACCACCCCCCTGACTACACCCCCCCTCTCCAAACTCTTCTTAAAATTAAACCACAAAACACAATTTCAGTTTTTTTTAAACTGAAAACAATCTCGGAATAAAACTATCAAACGCATTTTCAGAAATGATTCCAAAATGAAAATGAAAACGTTTTCGTTTTCATTTTCATACAAAAAATAAAAACGTTTTAGAACTAATTTCAAACGCACCCAACATGTCGTATCATAGATTTTTTTTCCCCCTTTCTTCCCTCTCCACAATTTTTTTTCCTTTCTTTAAAATTCTATGATAAAAGAGAGAAAAAAAAAATACTATGCCAATAAGACATTTTCAAACTGTCACATTATATATAATCATATATTATATTACAAAAATAATAAAAATTTAACAGAATGAAATGAAAATTTGACAGTTTAAAACCAGAAAGGCTAAGGACACCAACTCAAATTTTAATTTTTATGTGTTAACTGATGTGACATATAAATTATCATTTTTTATTAATAGATGTAATTTTTTATTATTAATTGACGTGATAATATTTTAAACACCCGTTAATAAAAAAGTGACAATTCATATACCACATCAATTAGTACATAAAAATTGAGATTTGAATTAGCATTCTTAACATTATTCATTTAAAATTACAATTTACTAATCGAGAGATTTCCATATCTAATTATATAGTTCTCACTTTTTTATTCTATTATAAAGTATTTGTATACAAAATACTTTATAAGCGGGATACGTTTAACACTAACGATAAAAACCATCCTACCTAGAGTATTTCTTTTGCATCATATCATAAAATCTCTATCTTTCATGATTTGTCTGGTGATAATTCATATCTAACTCCATCACAAGTTTAAAGTTAGAACCCTTATATCAAATTAATTTTTTTCTTTTTCCCTCGTGCTTGCTTAATGCTAATCGAATTGAAAAAGTTGCATCGGAACGTGTGCACGACCACCTGACCTGATGGCGGCCTCGTCACGCCATGGCTTGGATGAGAGGACCAAATGGAAAAAAAAGACCATATTTATTCTTTTTGAAAAAGAAATTGATGAAGAAGTTCGAGGAATTTTGTTAGTGATATTTGTTCTTTTTTTTCGACATGATATGACAATTTACAAATTCTTATAATAAAAAATCGAACGATATTGTTGTATCTCAATTTCTCAAAGAAAAACAACTTTTTGATGATTTTTTGGCTTGTGTGTAAGATGATTTCATCAATTTGCTTGTTTAGTCGAGTGAAATATTTGCTATTTATGGCTCAGGACCATGGTAAAGCATTTCTCAAATTTAGTTAAAGTGATACGTTTATAATCAAGAACAAATATAGCTGACAATAGTGAATATTATCACGGGAAAAAATAAATTTTCATTTTGAGGCAGAAAAGTAAATTGCGTACGTAGTTTTGTACTTCGTATATTTGTGAGCATGATGCCACGATAGTTGTAGTAGAAAAGCACCAATTATGCATTAGTTAGACCAATTTCATGTATTAGCTCGATTTTATCTATTAATATGAATTTTTTCATAGTGTTAGAAATTTCGAGAATAATAGGCCAAGATTTGAGGAGAATTAAAATTAATAGGTCAAAATTTTAGAGAAATTAGTAAATAGGTCAATTTGAGATAAATCTGGATTTACAACTACATGAATTTTTAAAAATCCCTTAGATGAGAATAACCCAGTTAAAACCCTACTCTCTGTTAGGGGTGGTAATTCGTGTTGACGAGTCATGTTCGTGTCGTGTTAAACCATTCAGTTGACATGAATAGATCTGATATGAACACGACTCGTTTATTAATCGTGTCAAAATACAAAACCCAAACACAACCTGTATATTAGTGGGTTGACATGACATGACACGACAAACCCGTTTATTAAGCATGTCGTAAACGTGTCATGTCAACCCGTTAATTACCTGCCAACACGTTTATGAAATAAGTATGTAATAGGTACGTTTAACCTATTAACAACCCGTTTCTGAATCCATTTCTAAACCTATTTATGAAATGAGTGATAAATATACCTATTTCTGAACCTACTTTGAACCTGTTTATAAAATGAGTGATAAAACATGTTTCTCAACCTGATTAACATGATGTAGAGACATTACATAATCTAAGTTCAAAATTAAAACAAACACAAAAGTCTCTCACAAATTAGAAAACAAACACATAAAAGTCTCACAAATTAGAAAAAAAATATACACGATTAATAATTAAACATTTAATTAATTTGTTGTAGTGGGGGGACTCCAAATACATTATTACGTTCAGGAGAACTTGATACCTGTGAGAAAGGCTCATCATCTTTCAACGAAAAGTTGAAGATATCTTGTGTAAGATCCTCTAGCTCTTCATTGAAATCTACACGAAAATAAATATATATAGATACAAGTTAGTTCAAAATCAATATAGAAAATATAAATAAATTAAATAAGTTTGAAACCACCTTTGTCACCATATAACCAATCTTTGGTACAAACAAGTGCTTCAATTGTCTTTGGTTTAAGTGAGCTACGAAATGAATTAAGAACTCTACCACCAACACTAAATGTAGCTTCAGAAGCAACTGTTGAAACAGGGACAGCCAAAATATCACAAGCCATAGAAGCTAATGCTGGATATCGAAATTGGTTTGATTTCCAAAAGGAAAGGATATCAAGCTCCGCGTTCCTAGCCAGTCTTGGCTCATCCAAATAAAGGTCAAGCTTTGATTTCTGTGACGCAGTACTAGACTCAACCGAAGACATCTCATCAAATTCCTACAAAATGAGAAGGAGATAGTATAAGAATACACAAGGAGACATAAGCATAGAGCATCCACATTACCAATAAATAGAGGACTAGGAATTACCTTGAATATAACATCCACATCATCACTTCCTTCTTTTTCCGTCATAAAATATTCAAAAATATTGGTCTTTTGGCTAGTTGAATCCTTATTGTTTTTATTGTACTCTTCAAATATAGAGTACAACGTACTCCTCATTGTTATGCATTCAAAACAATCATCTCCATAAAGCTTTTTGTAACTGAACTCGACAAGCCCAAGCTTAAAATGAGGATCTAGAACACATGTTATAGCCAAGGTAAGATGGAACTGAGACCAATACTTTTGAAACTTGCCCCACATTGCTATTGCCATACACTTTAAGTACTCATCATCACCTTCTGAATATTGTTTCAACATGAAGCAACAATGCCAAATGGAAGGGAAGTACAAGTTGGCAGTGGGATACTTTGTTTCATAAAATTTAAGAGTTGCATCATAGAACAACTTCAAAAAAGTTTTAATCTTCTCAACTTTGTCCCACTCGGCAGTAGAAGGACAATGCTTGTAGTTTGAATCACTCAACTCTAAATGTTGAAAGACACGGCGATAGTAAAGAGTACTCTCAAGCATAAGATATGTCGAGTTCCACCTAGTTGGTACATCTTGACATAACCCTTTCTTATCACCAATTGCAACTAACTTCACACAATCTAAAAACTTTTGTTTCCTCACTTGGGATCCCTTGACATAATTGACACTATCACGGATCTTAACAATGGAATCATCAATCTGCTTCAAACCCTCTTGCACAACTAAATTTAGTATGTGTGCACAACATCGCATGTGAAATAGATCGCCATTGTGTACAAGAACCCCTTTCGCAACTAATTGCTCTCTTAACATGTCAACATAAACACCATTTGCAAAAGCATTATCTAGTGTCACACTAAACACCTTGTTCTCAATTCCCCAGTCACTCAAAAAATCATAAAGTTTTTCAGACAAAACAACGCCACTATGTAGGGGTGGCATAAAACTAAAGTTTAACACTTTTTTCTGTAAGTTCCAATTATTATCTATGAAATGCGCAATGAGACAAACATATCCATCACTAGCCAAAGAACTCCATGCATAAGAAGTAAAGCTAATTCTACCCAGAGTAGTCTCTAACATGCGTTTAATTCATGACATTTCCTTTTTGTAAAACCTTAAAGCATCATCCCTTGTAGTATTTCTAGAGACCAATTGAATTACCAGTTTCGTACTTGCTATCCGCGAGGTATGCAGAGCTACAATGTTTGTACTTGGCCTTCAATTTCTTGTCCGGACCCAAAAGAAGATGAACAAAGTGACTCCAAACTTTTGAGGTCAGCTTCCTTTTTCTTCTTTGGAGTTGATCGCCTTGAGTTTCGTTATTCAAACTCGATCCATCAATCTCTTCAACCTCAACATCCACACTTTGAGACTCAATGGACTCAATATCAATTTCCATTGTGTTAAATTAATCTGCACAAAATAAAACATTAGTTAACATTAGTTTACAGTACCAGAAAACCATATAATTAGATCACAAAGAGATCATAACTCTTGTTCTAGCTGTGCAATAATAAAATAAATGGAGTTTAAATAATTATATGTTCTATATTTCAATAGACATTCACCAATTGATCACAGCATTCACAAACCGTAGATAATTAGAAAGAAAGTCCTCCCTTTCTAAGACCGAAATGAACTCTTTCTCAGAAACAGAAAAGTGAAAGAAAGGAAAAGGCAAAGCAGATAACTCGTAATCAAAAGGAATGAAAACTAAACTGAATCTGTTCACCAAGCAATCACAAAAACACCGAATCAAATAATCAAATAAACTCGTAATCAAAAGGAAAAGTGAACCATTGGAACACAAAAACCGAACACAATCACAATCATTTATCTTCTCAAGCTTTAACAATAATCAAATAAACACCGAATCTGTCGAATCAAATAAACACCGAATGACCAAAATGACCGAGAAGCCAAAGCCAACAACACATGAACCAAATAAAGGAAACTAAGAAACGGAAAAGAGAAAGTAATAAGAATGAAACAAAGTAAAGCAAAGCAAAAGGAACCATTGGAACACAATAAAAAACAGAAGACAAAGTAATAAGAAAACTAAGAAGCTCTTTCTCAGAAACAGAAAAGTGAAAGAAAGGAAAAAGCAAAGCAGATAACTCGTAATCAAAAGGAATGAAAACTAAACCAAATCTGTTCACCAAGCAATCACATAAACACTGAATCAAATAATCAAATAAACTCGTAATCAAAAGGAAAAGTGAACCATTGAAACACAAAAACCGAACACAATCACAATCAATTATCTTCTCAAGCTTTAACAATAATCAAATAAACACCGAATCTGTCGAATCAAATAATCACCAAATCAAATAAAAAAAATAGGGCGGAGAGAGGAAAAACCTGGCGAAGAACAACACCGAATCTATTCCCCAAGCAAAGAATATGTTCCCCAAGGTTGATTCTGATGAAGAGTGAGAAGAATAAGGACCGAATCTGTTCCCCTGCCTCCCCAAGGTCGAATCTGACGGAGAGAGTGGAAAGTCTAGAGAGAATGGGGCGGAGAGGAAAGAAGAAGAAGAGAAGCGGTGGGTCTGGACTGAGAAAGCAGTGGGTCTGGACTGAGAGAAACGGTTGTCCTTCGGTGGACTGAGAGCTCAGGCGGCAGAGAGGAGAGTTGAGAGAGAGTGGAGGTTGAGAGACCGAGAGAGTAGAGAGAGTCGGGAGACCAAGAGAAAAAGGGTTTGGAAATTATGTTGGACTTGTGGCTTGTGCGGCGGCAGTTGGGATATTAGAGAAGAGAATAACAAATAGTGAAACTTTTTTTTAACCTAGGTAATAAATGGGTAACAAACGGGTAATAAACGGGTTGTATAATCGTGTTATCTAAATATGACACGTTTAATAAACGGGTTATAGCGGGTCAATTGTGGGTTGGCGGGTCAACCTGAAAATAACACGTTATTTAATCGTGTTTCACGGGTTCGACCTGATTTTGACTCATACCTATTTATGTTAAACCCAAACCCGCTAATTTTGTGCGGGTTTTGAGTCGTGTCATTGTGTCGCTACCCGGATTGCCAGCCCTACTCTCTGTCATACTCGTCTCTCTCTTCGCTTTTTTTTACGTGGTAAATTCAGAATTTACTCAGTAAATTCAGGATTTACGAATATAACTTCACTTAAAACCTTATACGAAAAAGGTTATAAACTTTACTGGTAAAGCCAGGATTTACCAAGATAACTTCACTTGGAACCTTATGAAGAAATGGTTATTAGGTTTAATAGTAAACTCAGGATTTACGTAGTAAATTTAGGATTTACCAAGATAACTTTACTTTTAACCTTATAATGAAAAGGTTATCAACTTTAATAGTAAATCTAGGATTTACGTGGTAAATCTATAATTTATCAAAATAATTTCACTTGGAACCTTATAAGGAAAAGGTTATCAACTTTAATGGTAAATCCAAGATTTACCAAGATAACTTCACTTAGAACCTTATAATGAAAAGGTTATCAAGTTTAACGGTAAACTCAGGATTTACATAGTAAATTCAGAATTTACCAAGATAACTTCACTTGAAACTATATAAGGAAAAGTTTATCAATTTTAACGGTAAACTCAGAATTTACATGGTAAATCAAGGATTTACCAAGATAACTTTACTTGAAATCTTATAAGGAAAAAGTTTTCAATTATAATGGTAAACTCAGGATTTATGGAAAATGAAAAATGATAAATAAAAAAAAGAATAAATTTAGAAAATGATAAATTAAAAACATAAAATAACCTATTAATTTCTATAAGCTTCCATAACTTTTAAATCTTGCCCTATTTCCTGCGATTTCCCCTTTTTTTCTTCCTTAAAGTAAATCAAATGATAATCAAGGAGTGATGTGTCGAGTACTCCAATGCAATATATCATTGGTGAGATAATTCAATTAATGGTTAAGTTGCATGTGTATATATGTTTGTCCACAAGTAAGGATTGTATAACATTTGTACTTATGTAATATAATAATAACCATAATAATAATTAGAAAACTTTATGCTTATTATAGAAAGTGCAACATCTAGATGGAATCATGTTTATAACCTGTCGGTTCATATAAATTACAATTTAATATATCTATCTGACCGAAGTTGACAATTATGCTATCGATCTCTGAAGTGTTTTTGTCTCTTTTTCTTTAGTTTGTTCACGATAAAGCCCATCATTTCTTGAACATTTATTTCCTCTTGTAAAAATAAAGGAAACAAAAAACATGGTTATTATCAACTTTACGCATTAATGAGGAGGTGAATGGTACAGTGTCAATGATTTTAAATTTCATTATTTTTTGAGGGAAAATTAATTTTCATTTAACATTTTGGTTTGGTCGTCTACTATTTTTCTTTTCTTTTTGTTTCGTTTAATTTAATAGTTTGTCTTTATCTACAATTTTTTTGAAAAGGAAAATCCTATGCAATTAATTTTAAATTCTATGAGTAGGTGATTTGCCGTTATTAATTATCTGAAATTGGTGAATTTTTTTAGTGCGTTTCCATTTTTCATATTTCTATATATATATATCAGTGTGTGTTATATTCTCCGTAGTCAAATGGGAATTATTATTAGCTATGACTTGGGAATTGGGCCATATATTGGATGCAGGTCACAAGTCACTTTATGAGGTCAAAAGCCATTTAGCTTATTTTTTTGAGTGAAAAATTCAAAAAAAAAAAAAAATTGAATTATAATTTTATTTGAGTTCATATTTTTTTAAATTTAAATTTAAGTTTAAACTCGAGTTCAAACTCAAATTTATGACTAAAACTCGAGTTCAAGTTTTCCATTCAACTCGAGTTCAGAAACTCAAACTCAAATTAATGAACAGTACTTTTTCTATTCTTAAAAATGCTATAACTTTTTCGTTTTAATTCTGATTAAGATGATTTTTTTTATGCGTTGACAATGAAAAGACGAATAAAACCTGACTCATATACCCTATTAAAATTTTTTATCAGCATTGAGTTTTTATTAAAATACTATCTAAATACAAATTCAAGTTTTGACTCACTCAAACACAAACTCAAAAAGATTCTTATCTCAAACCATAATGATGTACACAATTAAACACAAACTCAAGTTACAAGTTCAACTCAAGTTATAACTCAAATTCAACTCAAAAATTATACTCAAGTTAAACTCCAAAAGAACAAACCCAACTTTTAATCACTTTTGGAAATTAATCTAATACGCTTGTGTTATCTTTCTGATTTTCTATTGCAATCGGTGCACAAGAAGTTCATGTATAATAACTTATTTAAGGAATCAATCAGTGCACGAGAAGTTCATATATAATAACTTATTTAAGGAATTAAATCATTTATTTATATCCAAGTTGTGGAGGGAAGCGCAGCTAATTCCAAGTTCTATGGTGATATTATAGTTTACCAAAAATAAATAAAGTTGAGCTACGAGAGTCCTTGAATGTTTTGAGAAAGTGACTTCTAAAATATAAAAAAAAGGAAACCACCAGATTATTTGAATAATTTTATTCCCGCAGTTACTTGAACTCACTAAAACTTGTCAATTTAATACTCAATATTCTAATAGAGCTTAATCGGCTATGTATTGTACATTTGATTGATTTTTTTGAAAGGCAATAGTATAACTATATTAAAAAGTCACTAAAGAGTTAATATACAGGACAAAACTAGAGAAGAATAGGGTGTTACTCATATGACTAAACAATACAAATGCATCATTTACTCAATAAGGGAGATAACTCCTCCAACTAGTGACACTATAACAGGGTTCGGCCTCTTCGAATGGACTCTAAATGAACCACGTCTCAATCCCAAAATGGACTACATAACTTGGACTTAGAGCGGTGGGGAGACCACCTTCTAGTCAAGATATAATATTAGTAGATGGGGACACCATCACCGTTATTACAATACAAATAAAAATATAAAACAAGAAAATAGAAAAAAAAAATGTAAAGATCTTAAGAAATCAAACTAGCAAAATCAAGCCCCTCAACGCCGAAGGTATGTAAAACACAAGAGGAGTGGCACTGGAAAAAAGCTCATGAAACGGCGACAAAAGCACCAGACACACATGCCGCCGCAAATGAGCGGGGACTGCCACATGTTCCAAACCACCTTCCTCGCCTCCCTTCCACGATCTAATTCCTAGAGTTTCAACAGAATCTCACAGCGAACGCGTTCTAGATCTAAAGTAGAAGATCAGAAACTAATTTTCCTTGAACAACTCCATTTCGATGACTATCCACACTTCCATTGGCACGAATCCGACGCCGGTGACCTATGCGATCTCTCTTACGAACTTTGGAGGCCAGCAGCCCGCCAAATAGCCGGACCATTGACCCCAAAATACTCTTCCTCTAAGCTTGTTGCAAAGCGTCTCTCTTTAGCTTTCTCTCTCTAGAACTTTGACAGCTAGGGTTACAATATATTTAATTGATTTTGATATTTTTCACCTACTATACAAATAGTTGAATTCATTTTTTCTCCTAGTACACACAGCTAAATTCTTTTTTTTTGGG